CTTCTCCGAAGGCACCTGGGACAGCATACACCAGCCGCTGCCAAGTGCCCTTGCCCCAGCAGGGCTTCCAGATCTTTGCGACTCTTTCCGGGTGACTGCAGCTAATCAGCCATGAGGCTCTGTGACCAAGACCACAACACGTTCCTACCATCATCTCCCTGCTCTGTAAAAGGCAAAATCCTATGGGCACTAAAAACATTATCTGATGCTACATTACTTTTATAAAAGTACACTTCTGACCACTGTTAGTATGAATTCCTCATAGGGTCACATTTTAATAAACAGGTGAACGGATTTAGAAATAAGTTTAATGGATAGTTATCCACATTGACAATACTTACAAAATATTACCATTAATCAAAGCCACAGTATGTGTAAAAACATTCTGGGCCTCTGTTAACTCCTTGAAGCAAGGAGAGAAACTAACACTTTGTACACACGCACGCAGACACTGCCAGCCACACGGAGGGTAATACTCTGCGAGGCAATATCCGCTAGTTAAGAAGAACAGTGAACGGCGCTGAACTTCATCATCTTGGGTAACTGGCTTTAACTGTGATTCTTTCTCCCTACAACCTCAGTTCGTCATTTACTTAACAAGCACCTATGGGATGCCTACTCCTTGCAGCCACTGTACTAGGTGCCAGGCAAAACAGACATGGTCTTAGCTCTCACAGATCCTACAGTTGAGAAGAGGAACATTTTTGTGTGATTATTTGGTTACAATCTATCTAATTATGAGCTGCACACATGTTACGAAGGCTAATTAACAGGGGCTATATGGTGGGGACCTTGGCAGGAAAGAGGGTGGAGGAAAGCTGCCACTGGTCCTGGAAAGTGGTCTTTTTAGAACATAATAAAAGCACGTGTACAGTTACTGTACCACCATTTCCTGACATTGGCAGGGGGTGCGGGGAAAGGAGAAGGATGGATGGTATGACCAATGCCAATCCCGGTGTCTGAAAATAGCTGCAAACGTTAACAGATTCCAGCATTCTTGGGAAGCAACAGACACACGCGTATGTAGACACGTGCTTGTGCACACAGCACCTGTACTTCCCGTCGACCCAGAAGCAGCTGGAGAGGAACCCAAGGAGCCAGATTGCTTCTGGGCGTCAAGGCCACAGGGGGATTTTGCTCACACCCCCATTAAAAGTGCTACTGCCCCTAAAGGGCTCAGAGCATGGCATGTCACATTAGCAAATGCCACCTAAACGGAGGCCACATTATCTTCCCTCCCTTCTTACAGAAGCGGCGAAAAGTACCTCTGCATAAGGTCCTCTTAGAGACTCAAGGGCCTGGCAGGTAGAGGGACCATACATGGCCACTGTCGACACGAGGAACTCTACCATGATGCTGTCGCAAGGAATCAAGATATAAAGGCAGGAAGTTATGATTCTTACCTTTGGGTCATCTCCAAACTGGCCAAACTGTACATCATTTAATAAACTACGAGCTGTTTTGATGATATCTTTACATTTTTTTGGTGTTTCTTCCACCTTTCCAGCCAGAAAGAGACAACAAGCTCCTGTCACCTGAAAGGAAGACAAAAGCTCCTGAGATACTGTTACCAAAGCTCACACAGAAATGGAAAAGGGATTTTTGGACTTCACAACAAACTGGGCCCCCTCACTCTCCTACCATCCTCTTTCTCACTCACAAACACTCGGACACTCAAGAAGCTAGAAGGAAATTTCACATACAACTCCCTTTCCCCCCATATCTGGCTTCATAAATTATTTTATTATTTTTTTCATATTATGTGCTTCTCTAGTCCAAGTGGTATTATAAACATTCAGTGACAATGAATCAGTGTTAATTATAAATCCTTGATCCTCTGCAATGTGCTTGAAAACACAAACCATTTGGGTTAAAAGCTTTAATATCTCTTAGGAAGAATTTGTCATGTGAGTTTGGAATCTTTGATTTTTCCTCTATAAATTGTACTGGCTGTTGACTATGGACACCTGACTGCAAATATCTTTTCTTGTATTCTCATACTTCTAGACAATGATTTTGTAAGACAATAAATTTATTCATTATAGATATTTATGCCTGCTCTATCTACTTGGAGGAAAAAGCACCCGTTGAGAATCAACAGACCTCAATAAACAAGAACAATCATGTGAAAAAAAATTATTTTAAATTTAGTTTTCTGAATAAAATGTCACGTAAACAAAGTAGATGCCAGAAAGGGAAACAGTCACAGAAACAGATTTTCATTTCACACTGCCACCTTATAGACGCTGACCCCCTGCACAGTGAGCTCTGCGCGGGGCGAGCACTCCTCATGGCGCAGCCCCCGGACTTGGCTCCGCACGGCCTGCACTTTCCTCCCCCTTCCTCCTGCCGCCTGGGTCCTGATCCTGCCCCCCGCCTCCCGCTGCTCTACCCTCAGCTTTTCTCTGCTGGCTCCAACCTCTCCTACAGGCCCCTCTCTTCACAGAATCCCAGCCATGCTAGGTGACAGCTACTGTGCTGGGGGACATAGCTGATCCTGACACAGTCTTCTCCCTAGAGAACGTCACACACTAGCGAGGAGGACACGTGTACAAAACTAAATGAAATCTTGTCGAAACGAAGACCCTCCAGCAGATTACTTTCTGTTACGTCTAATTCTGTCTTCTTCCTGAAACCCTCGAATCACTTTGGTTCACCCACTGCAGCCACAGCTCCCTGGTTCGGCACTTGAGGCTCACCATGGTCTGACTGGTGTCCACCCTTCCCACTCGGGGTCCTCTCATTCCCTTTTCTGCCAAATGGCTTCCTGGCCGGGCTGACTGCAGACTGCACACTTCCCCCATGTCTTTGCTCACTGGTTTCTGCTGGACTACTGCCCTGCCCCGTCTCAGCACATCGAGGCCCTACTTACATTCAAGGCCTCCTCTCTCAAGTTTCCCCTGACCCCTCCATGATGTAATTACTCTCTCCTCTGAGTGCTCCAGCCTTCCTCCTGCACCTCCCCCACCGCCTTGCTCTCTAACATGTGTTTGAACATGTCAGACCATCCACCCTGGGCTGAAGGCTACTTGAGGCAGGTTCCCTATCAGATCTCCCACAGAGTGTAGACAGTGCGTGTCTGAGGAGTAACCGAAGAATGACTGAGAAGACGTACAGAACATCTGTGCCACCTTGTTCTTTGTGGGCCGTGATTGTAACGCCAAACCATCCTGGGAAATGTAACAAGGAAGTAAAACTTCCCACAAAGTGCAACGTGATTATGGTTCATATTGGCCTAAATAAAAAAAGTTTAAAACATTTTACTATAGTTAATTGAAGAAGCCAAAGTTGAAGCTTGATTTTGTTTGTATACAGTATGTACCTTAAAAAAGTACTCTCTGGAAAACACAGTAAAGCAAGACTACAATCAGTCCACTGAAGGTGACAGAGAATTACAACAGAATTCACACACTTACATATCTTGGGAATTGCTTGAAGGAATGAAACATATAGAAGCGATGAAAATAAATTATTCCAGTTGCCAGGGTATCATAGTGTCTGTTGTTCTGGTTAAGGACTTTAGCCAAGAATTTTTACAGGTCACGTTTTAGTTAAATGTGGAAAAACAATAAAGACAAACAATAATTAACAGTAGCTGCGGTAAAACAAACACTGTCAGCAGTAAAGCAGGTGGGGTGGAGTCTCCAGGTGTCAGAATTCTAGCACAAGAATTACCAAGCTGAAGTTTATGCTTTAACAAAACAGGGCTTCACCATCCTTTAGAAACACCTCAACTGTGACCACTGGATGATGTTTTCCATCCTGGTGGCCACTTGCTCAATGCCTAAGTCAACACATTTAAATGATAAAAAGGAAAGGGGGAGGGTATAGCTCAGTGGGAGAGTGTGCGCTTAGCACACGCAAGGTCCTGGGTTCAAGCCCCAGTACCTCCGTTAAAAAATAAATAAATGAAAACCTAATTACCCTCTCCCCAAAAAAATGATAAAAAGGAAAGAGAAAACCCCTGAAGAGCCAAGCAAATTGGGAATAACATTTAAATAACAAAGATACTTAAGAGCTATTTTAGTACAGGCATATTACTATATATTTTGCTACAGCAACTGATTAAACTATTAAATATAGCATCTAGTCTATCTATAACAGCTTCCAGGAGGATCAGGATACAGTCCCAAACGTGTGCCCACATCAAAGATGAACCGAGCCCCCTCTCGGCGGTACCGGGCCTCAGTGGCCGGATCGAGTCCTTCTAGTTGCGAGGGTGTGTGAGCCAAGTCTTTTTTATCCCAGTACCAACATGGCTTTGTGTGGTCCAGGTTTGCAGAGGTTACTGAAGGGCTTGAATTTTCTTTATTTTCCTTCATTTATTGAAGTATACTTGTTCTTTCCAAAAGATTTTCTGAAAATGTTAGACTCCTAAGAGAAAGAGAAGAAGAAATAAAGTTGGATACCTCACATTGAGCAATCGCAATCGTTACGAACAACCTACAATCACAGATTTGTACTTGGTCATAATTTCCAATAGAAGAAACAGTCCTGAGGGAAGTGAGAAGCCCAGGCTCACTCTCAAACACAATTTAACACCTAAATGGCCCACAGAATAATAACCCTAAATTTCATGGCAGCTTAAAGGGAAACCCGCTTTGGCCTCATTTTCCTTTCTCCCCTTCTTCACTAGACCCAGCTCCCTCACGCTGGTCTAGATTCTGTTCTTCAGTGAAACCCAGGCCTGTCTAACCACCCCCCGAAGGGTTTCTGTTTCAAAATTATCCATTTCTTCCCTCTAGCACACAATCAAATTTCCCCTTTTTTAGTTAACTTGCTTTCACTTAGGTACCTTCACATAGAAAAGCTACCAGACTGTATGAATTAATACCTGCACAAGCCACCGAGCTGAGAAATGTAAATCAGGTATGGGTACAGTGACTAGGGAGGAAGGGTGGCGGGAGGTGGTCCATAAAGGAAGGAAGGAGTTCCTTTAAAATAAATTCTTCTTCCTTTCTCATCCTCTACTCTTTCATTCAGAATAAAGAGATTCCCTAAAAGTTCCATGCTGAGAAAAGAAAACAAAAACCAAGGACTCTCACCTATAGGCCACTGTAACATGCAAACTGTAAACTGGAGCAGAGAATAGAAATTTTCAAATAGGGCAGCAAAAGATTCTAAAAGAGGCAGCCGGAACCAGGTTGGTCTGGTTCAGCAAGAAAACAGCAGTCCGATAGCCAGGCTCTGGGCCAGGGAAAGCCCAGCTTTCCCAGCGTGCCCGCCTCACGTCTGCGGGGGAAGGTGACAGGGCTGAATGCTCTCCTCCTCGCACCTGGAAGCTCTATAGAGAGTATGATCTTTCCTCCAACAGGAAGAATTAAGTACTAGCTGGAGAAACGTAACCTCAAACTAATTTACACTCTGTGTGTGACTGAACTGGGCAATGGCTGGGGGTGGTGGGGGCAGGAAGACCAGTTAACTAAAGCTCAGTATATATGAAGAGTATGTAATTAGATGTCAAACTGAGATGTCATTTCTCACCTACCAGACTGGCAAAAAAATCCAAAAGTTTGACAATATGCTCTGCTGGCAAGGCCGGGGAGAAGCAGGTAATCTCATGTATTGCTGATGGGAGTACAAAATGGAACAACTCTCACAGAGGGGAATCTGGCAATATCTAACACAACTACATATGCATTTGCTATTTGATTTAGCAATCCCACTTATAAGAATCTATTCTGACAACACCATCACAAACATGAAAGATGGGTGCACAAGATCATTCACCAAAGTATTGTTTATAATAGCAAAAACTTCTGTAAACAATGCAAATGCCCACCAACAGGGCACTACTGAATAAAGAGGTACATTAACACAAATGGCATACCATGCAGCTACGAAAAAGACTGAGAGAGATCTCTAAGTACTGGTGTGGAGAAATTTCCAGGATCAGTAAGATACAGGCTAGCGTATATAGCATGTTAGTATCTATGTAAGAAAAGAAGGGAAATAAGAATAGACACCTTTACTTAAAAAAAAAACTAATAATAAATGGTTACAGGTGAGGAGGGTAGAGCTCAAGTGGTAGAGTGATGCTTAGCATGCACAAGGTCCTGGGTTCAATCCCCAGCACCTCCTCTAACAATAAATAAATAAAACCAATGACCTCCCCTGCCCCCCAAAAAGGTTACCAACAGGGAATGGGGAAGAGCAGGATGGAAACAACAGGAGTGGGAACAAGACTTCTCAATCTTTTCGTATAGCTTTGACTTAAAAAAAAAAAACTTTTATTTAAAAATAATTTTGGATTTATAGAAGAGTTGTAAAGATGATACAGAGAATTTTTGTATACCCTTCACTCAGCCTCCCCTAGTGTTAATGTCTTATGTAACCACTAAAAAATTAATTTTGTTACCTTATTAACTAAACTATATAGCCTTGACTTAGATTTTGAGTGTTTCCAAAAATTCTCTCTTCTGTTCCAGGATCTAATCCAGGATAATATTGCATTCAGCTGTCACATTTCCTTAGCATCTTCTAATATGTAATAGTTCCTCAGTCTTCCCTTGTTTATCACGACCTTGACAGTTCTGAAGAGTACAGGCAGACTGAAACGTCTCTGATTTAGGTTTGTTCGATATTTCCCCTCTGACAGACTGGCGTTTTGAGGAAGGTAGCAGAAGTGAAGTGCCCTCCTCACCAGCTCACATCAGGGAGTAGGAGATATCCGAATGACTTCTTACTATTTATTTTTTTTAACTTTTTTTATTGATTTATAATCATTTTACAACGTTGTGTCAAATTCCAGTGTAGAGCACAATTTTTCAGTTATACACGAACATATATATATTCATTGTCACATTTTTTTCTCTGTGAGCTACCATAAGATCTTGTGTATATTTCCCTGTGCTATAGCTTACTATTGATATTAACCATGATCATTTCGTTAAGTTGGGCCTGCCAGGTTTTCCACTGTAAGTTACTATTTTTCCCCTTCTATTTTTTATCCCTTAAAAAGAGTCATGAGGTCAAGCCCATACTCTAGGGTAAGGGAATTAAGAGCCACCTCCTGGAAGGAGAAGTATCAAAGAATGTGTGGACCTCTGTTAAAACTACAACAGCAAACATTTGGGGGGAAATCTTTTGCAATGCAAAATAGTATGCAAAGTACGGGTTTCTCAGTGAAGTTCCGCCCATTAATTTCAGCACTCATCTGAGGACCTTGCCTGCAACCGTTACTACTGTAGTATTCTAATGGTGAACTTCTATTTCCTTCCTTCCTTCAACATTATCTGGAATTCTTTTGTAAGAAAGATTTGTTCCTTCTCCCTCGCTTACTTATTTATTCAATCATTTATTTTTACAAGTATGGGTTCATTAATATTTATCTTATTCTTAGAGTTATAATACAGTACTACCATTGTTTGTTGCTCAAACTGTTCCAGGTTATGGCCATTGGAAGGAGCTCTTTTGGGTCGGCTCCTGAGTTCATTTGTAACTTTGAATTTTGAATCATGTAAGTATTTAATATATTCATGAACTTAACTAAAAAAGCAAATCCTAAAACTCAAAATAAACTCTGTGTATAGCAAACAGGCAACACAACCACACAGAAAATCATTATAAGTAATTTCTGATCTTGTTCCATATTCTAAGTGAGATATAGTCTAAGGACAAAAAAAAAAAACTGCAAGGGACTCTTAAACTCCTTCAGTGATGCGTTGTTAGTAACAGCGTTGTAATTGTCGTAACAGTACTGTAATTGTCAAGGCTTTCTTTTTTCCTTCAGTATATTGTAGGATAAAGCAAATATATAAATGGTATTGTTAGGAATCAAGATTTTTGGTGCAAAGGAAATGAATATATATAAGAAAAAACCTGTAATAGTAAATTTCAGTTGAAAATGTCAAAATAAATCACAGTTAAAAATATATACATATATAAATAAATAAAATAAAAAAGTACATATATATCTCAGTTCTGTTCATTTCCAGGTCCTAGAAGCAATGACACTCCTACAATCAAGAACACATCTCGAGCCCAAATCTTAGTTTGCAACACCATCATCCTCTAAAAGGAAGGTCTCCTTTTCAGTCTGGGGTAAAGGCCTGTGTGGGATGTGCTCAGATTAACGGAAGATTATCAAAAGACAGAGGAGTCATCATAGATTCCCACTGGACAAATTCAGGGAATTTAAATATTAAAAAGAAAAATGATGATGATTGATTGTAAAGGAGTGAATAAACAATCCATGAGTCCATGGCAATATTAAAACACATGGATAATAAATCCACTTTACTAGCACTGGTAATAATTTTGGGGGAAAAATACATTTACCTTAATGAAAATGATCCAGTTTGGCATCACTGTTCCTATAGGGTGAAAACCTGCCATTATGTGCCCCCTAACATGATGCAATATGAAAAAATATATATCAACCACCTATAAAATATTATTTCCCAAAAGCTGAACCTAAATCCAACCAAGCAGCTTTTACAGTAGATATTGGGGGCAGAAGAACAAGTTTAATGGCACAACGAGGACATACCCTACAAGACAACTGATCTGGTCTCTTCAGAAATATCAGTGTCATGAAAAAATAAAAAATGGCAGGGACTATCCTAGACTTGAAAAGACTAAAGAGGCATTAGAATCACATAAAATGTGTGGACGTTGACTGGATCCTGTTAAAAAAAAAGCTATAAACAAAATTTTGAACAATTAGAGAAATATTAATATGGACTATATATTAGAGGCCATTAGGGAATGACTGTTAATTTTCATAGGAGTAATAGTGATACTGTGATGAGAAAGGAGAATGACTTTACTCTTACGCTGAAGTATTTCGTGGTAGTGTCATGATGCCTGCAACTTACTTTCAAATGGTTTTGCTAAAATACACACTCCCAGAGCAAAGGTGGCACAATGTTAACATGTGTCCAGGCCACAGGTAAACAATTAACACTGTACTCTTCTCACTCACTACAAAGCCGGGGGGGAAACCAGATGAGACAGCTTAGGAGAACAGGGGGATTCCCAGCCCCTCTGGTCTGAGAGAGCAGAACTCGCAGTAGCCAAAGAATAGATGTAAATGTGTGGGCAGTACTTTTACATTAAAACAATCTCTGGCTGCACTATAGCATACAAAAAGAAAAGTACACTAATTTTAAGTGTACGGTTTTGGCGGGGGGTGTGGATAGCTCAAGAGGCAGAGCACATGCTTAGCATGCATGAGGTCCTGGGTTCCATCCCAGTACCTCCTCTAAAAATAAAGAAAGAAAGAAACCTAACTACCTCCCTCCAACAAACAAACAAAAAAAACAACAAAAAAATTAAGCGTACGGCTTATTAATTTTCACAACAAACACACTTGTGTAACACCACCCAGTTGATGAGCAGAACATTACCAATACTCCACAAATTCTCCTTTC